AGCGACACCAAGTACAACAGAACCAGACACTACTGGTCCTGCACTATCCTCACAGCTGTGGCTACGTTTGCGTCCACTGTTCCGGTCACTGTGTCCACTCACCTCATCGAGGGTCTTGCTCTTTTTTGCTGACCCTCTAACTTTACTAAGCATGATGGCCTCCCCAGGGACTGGTTCCTCCTGAAAACATGTCCACAGTATGTGAGACAAAGTCTCGCCATCCTTGCTTGTCAGGAACATTTTGGCTGTACTTCTTCCGAGAAAGACGTGCCCATTCTTCCGCCAGTGCATGGTACACTCAATAGTCTCCACCAACACTGTCACTCAAACGCATCAATTCACTTCCTTCTTCACCGCCCAGCTTTCACACGCACAGGAGGTGACACAAAGTACCCCAGCTGGGCTCGGGCATACTTACTATGAATGTGACTTTGCTTACACGCTCGCGATTCCCAGTTCATCAGTGGTGTGCAACACGATTTCACTCAGCACAAAGCTCAACTTACGTATTTTTTAAATATGCATTTAAACGATACAACAAAAAGGTATCTCTAGCACATCACATCTGTGGTCTCTGCTGAAAATGAGGCTAAGGTATGTAGTGTGTGGCTAAGTCTCCTTCCACAGACCCCATGAATTACAAGAATAGCAGCACACTGGCATACTCGCAAACGTTTCCAATCTAAACTCCCAGCCGTAACTGCTCACAACACTGCCAGTCAAGCTAATCGACTAACTGGCAGGGCTGCTGATTGGTGATCTGGATTTCATCTCCCCAACTTCCATCAAATCTCACTTCTGTGCTTACCCTACAAGTCTTCACAGTGGTAGTTCTCTCTGGAGGGGCAAGGAAGGGAGCAGTTGGGCGGGCTGGAAAGGTTACCGTCCGGCCGGCTGCTACTCTGAAGGCTGTTCTGACTCATCCAGTCCTGCCTTTCCAGATACTTCACAATCAGCTTGTCAATTTCCACAAAAATAGCCTGCTATAGATGAATCTGGGCAAACTGACACCTTCACACTACGCCTTCAGTCTTCCTACAAACGAACAAGGTAAATCAAAAAACCCATTGCCACTGAGCTGATTCTGACTCATAGCAACCCTACAGGACAGAGCGGAACTGCCCCACAGGATTTCCAAAGCTGTAATCTTTACACAAGTAGATTGCTACATCTTTCTCCTGCAGAGCGGCTGGTGGAGTCGAATGGCAGACCTATCCACCTGGCAGTGGAGTGCTTAACCACTGTGCCACCAGGGCTCCTGTGTTAGTCCTTAGGGTATTATACATGAAATCCACACATCACACCAAATGTTGGCAAGGGTGCAGAGGAGCCTACACCATTGTATACTGCTGACAGGAAATGGCACGACCACTGTGAAAAGCAGTTTGGCAATTTCTTAAACCCCTCTCATGGGATCCAGCCATTCCACACAGCGGTATTTCTCTGTCCCAAGAGAAAAGAAAGCATAGACCCAAACAAAGCCTTCTGCACTAACGCTCAGAGCAGCTTTACCTACATCAGAGAGAACTGGAAACCACCCAAAAGGCTATCAACAGGTGAACGGCTGACTACCCCGTGGTGGATCCACACAGTGGAATTCTACTCAGCGATAAGACGGAATGAAGCGCTGATTTGCTTCCACATGAATGAGTCTCAAATGCACTTTGCCAAGCAAAAGCAACCGGATACAAAGAGTAGAAGAGTACAAGCTGTGTGACTGCGTTTGCTCTTGGCAATTCATGGGCCGCCTCAGCACTGCAAGGCGCAAACCTTTGAGGGCCACGGACACGGGCACGAGTACTATCCTGACTGTGGTTAGCGTTTCAGAGTTACAGACATCTGTTACAGTTTAGCAACCTGTCCACTTCCAATACGTTCAGTTTACTGTAGGTCAATTATGCCTCAATTGAGTTGTTTAAAAACAAAAAAAAAGACGAGGGACGACTGCCAAGACCATCGGCGGGCTGGTCTAGGAAACAAAGACGCAGCATCAACTGACACACCTAAAGAAAAGGAGGGACGAGGGCAGACGCAGAGCGCGGACAGCCAGCCTGGGCCCAGGGTAGGTAACAGACCCCAACCCAAGGGAGGAAGGACAGGAAGGAGTGGCAGCGTCATCTAGGAAAGAAGTAACTGAAGTGAGCTGGGAAGAAGTGGAGAGCAGACAACAGGCATTTCAGACACAATGTGAAGAGACAAGGACTGACAGCTCAAGGTGACTTAGAAACCTCCAATTTCGTGCTTGGGTTAATGAAAGTACTGGAACCAGCACCATGGGTGGTTTGATGAGCATGTCTGAAGCTCAGGTAGGAGATAAAGACTGGACAGATGGGGGGCTGCTTCAGGTCATCCAGTAAGACCACGAGCAGAAGTCAGATAGGATACTGCACCAAGGATGGAAGTGAGGTACAGTGAAGGGGGTGTTCAAAGGGAAAAGGAAAACAGAATAGAAATGGTCTGCAAGTTCAAGGAAGTATTCCGGAAGGAAGGAGTAAGTTATGTCACAAAAATGAAGTATGACAGGTAAGAACCAAGCTATGCCTAATTCAGGGAGCCTTTGTGAGCACATGAGAGAAAGGACTTTGGAGAG